TGGAGGTGCCCGTGTGGGAGTGCTGGAGGTGCCGGCGTGGGAGTGCTGAAGGTGCCCGTGTGGGAGTGCTGGTGGTGCCCGTGTGGGAGTGCTGGAGGTGCCGGCGTGGGATTGCTGGAGGTGCCGGCGTGGGAGTGCTGGAGGTGCCCATGTGGGAGTGCTGGAAGTGCCGGCGTGGGAGTGCTGGAGGTGCCCGTGTGGGATTGCTGGAGGTGCCGTCGTGGGAGTGCTGGAGGTGCCTGTGTGGGAGTGCTGGAGGTGCCGGGGTGGGAGTGCTGGAGGTGCCGGCGTGGGAGTGCTGGAGGTGCCCGTGTGGGAGTGCTGGAGGTGCCGGGGTGGGAGTGCTGGAGGTGCCGGCGTGGGAGTGCTGGAGGTGCCCGTGTGGGAGTGCTGGAGGTGCCGGCGTGGGAGTGCTGGAGGTGCCCATGTGGGAGTGCTGGAGGTGCCGGCGTGGGAGTGCTGGGGTGCCGGCGTGGGAGTGCTGGAGGTGCCCGTGTGGGAGTGCTGGAGGTGCCGGCGTGGGAGTGCTGGGGTGCCGGCGTGGGAGTGCTGGAGGTGCCCGTGTGGGAGTGCTGGAGGTGCCGGCGTGGGAGTGCTGGGGTGCCGGCGTGGGAGTGCTGGAGGTGCCCGTGTGGGAGTGCTGGGGTGCCGGCATGGGAGTGCTGGAGGTGCCCGTGTGGGAGTGCTGGAGGTGCCCGTGTGGGAGTGCTGGAGGTGCCGGCGTGGGAGTGCTGGAGGTGCCCGTGTGGGAGTGCTGGAGGTGCCGGCGTGGGAGTGCTGGAGGTGCCCGTGTGGGAATGCTGGGGTGCCGGCGTGGGAGTGCTGGAGGTGCCCGTGTGGGAGTGCTGGAAGTATAGTGGAAGCTACGCTCCCGGTGCTCAGTAAACATGTAAACAAACGCGATGAGTCCAGGAGGTGGCATGAGCTCCTTAGACTTAGCAATCCGGAACATTCTACAAAGCGGCTGAATTCCTGGAGTTCCGCGTAAAACAATACATTTTAATAGAGATATCTTCATCAGAACAAAAGGAGGGACAACTGAGGAGGGAGGCGGGACATTGGCTCCCAAAGATGGACTGTTCCTGCAAATGACGAAGAGTCCCCGTGACATCATGAGCTGGAATTTCACCGCCGGTGACGCTTTCACCGCATACAAGCGCTAATACCAACACATAAGGAAGCACTCCGCACTCCTCTAGTATGAGGGATGACATTTATTTCAGGTATATAAATACATTTTTCATTCACGCATTCTTCTCCAATGTAAACCTCGATCCATATTATACCAATACACAGTATATAGAATATCAATCATTTCCAGGCCAATGACACAAAATTCAGCGCCGTTCTCCCGGGAACTGCGCCTCATGTTTGCTTCACAAAACAATCTACAAGTGCGAGTGCAGTACAGACCTTCCATGACAAGCGGCAGACAGAACAGAGTGCAGGAGGAACGCGGTACAGACGTTCCATGACAAGCGGCAGACAGAACAGAGTGCAGGAGGAACGCGGTACAGACGTTCCATGACAAGCGGCAGACAGAACAGAGTGCAGGAGGAACGCGGTACAGACCTTCCATGACAAGCGGCAGACAGAACAGAGTGCAGGAGGAACGCGGTACAGACGTTCGCCTTCCATGACAAGCGGCAGACAGAACAGAGTGCAGGAGGAACGCGGTACAGACGTTCGCCTTCCATGACAAGCGGCAGACAGAACAGAGTGCAGGAGGAACGCGGTACAGACGTTCCATGACAAGCGGCAGACAGAACAGAGTGCAGGAGGAACGCGGTACAGACGTTCCATGACAAGCGGCAGACAGAACAGAGTGCAGGAGGAACACGGTACAGACGTTTGCCTTCCATGACAAGCGGCAGACAGAACAGAGTGCAGGAGGAACGCGGTACAGACCTTCCATGACAAGCGGCAGACAGAACAGAGTGCAGGAGGAACGCGGTACAGACATTCCATGACAAGCGGCAGACAGAACAGAGTGCAGGAGGAACGCGGTACAGACGTTCGCCTTCCATGACAAGCGGCAGACAGAACAGAGTGCAGGAGGAACGCGGTACAGACGATCACCTTCCATGACAAGCATCAAAGAGAACAGAGTGCAGGAGGAACGCGGTGCAGACCTTCTTCCATGACAAGCGGCAGACAGAACAGAGTGCAGGAGGAACGCGGTTTGTTCATTATAACAATGTATCACAGATTAGAAAACTATCATCTATTCATATGAAAAACAACATTTAATAAAAGGAATTCCGAGTACAAAATGTGCAAATTGTTGCTTTAAATTGAATATATAATAAAGACATTCGTCAGGTTGGAGCTGCTTATATTTATGGCTTCAATAAATCACACAAATTAAAAACAGATCAGAGATTTCCTCACAAAGAACTTTAAACGTCTTTTTTTACATTTTCTGACTTTGTAATTTTTGGCTTTATAGAAGTTCCCTGTGTGGTAGATATCGCAATTAGAATTTCGGCTGAATGATTTCCACAGGGGGAGCCCCCTATGTGGGGGACTATAGACGGGGCCCCTATGTGGGGGACTATAGACGGGGCCCCTATGTGGGGGACAATAGATGGAGCCCCTATGTAGGGGACTACAGACAGAGCCCCTATGTGGGGGACTACAGACGGGGCCCCCTATGTGGGGGACTATAGATGGAGCCCCCTATGTGGGGGACTATAGACGGGGCCCCTATGTAGGGGACAATAGATGGAGCCCCTATGTAGGGGACTACAGACGGAGCCCCTATGTGGGGGACAATAGATGGGGCCCCTATGTGGGGGACTATAGACGGGGCCCCCTATGTGGGGGACTACAGACGGAGCCCCCTATGTGGGGGACTACAGATGGAGCCCCCGATGTGGGGGACTACAGACGGAGCCCCCTATGTGGGGGACTACAGACGGAGCCCCCTATATGGGGGACTACAGACGGGGCCCCCTATGTGGGGGACTATAGACGGGGCCCCCTATGTGGGGACTATAGATGGGGCCCCCTATGTGGGGGACTATAGACGGGGCCCCCTATGTGGGGACTATAGACGGAGCCCCCTATGTGGGGGACTACAGATGGAGCCCCCGATGTGGGGGACTACAGACGGAGCCCCCTATGTGGGGACTATAGACGGGGCCCCCTATGTGGGGACTATAGACGGGGCCCCCTATGTGGGGACTATAGACGGGGCCCCCTATGTGGGGGACTATAGACGGGGCCCCCTATGTGGGGACTATAGACGGGGCCCCCTATGTGGGGACTATAGACGGGGCCCCCTATGTGGGGACTATAGACGGGGCCCTGGCTGTAGACTGAAATAGAGATGAGAACAGTAAAGTGCAATCACCGGACGACACGCGTGTGCGGCATGTATACGGGATCTGAGGTGTCAATATGGCCGCCTGTGTAGATAGTTGATCATTTATATTCCGTAGAACAATAAGTGCGTTCTGAACACTGATAGGTGGAGCTGGGAGCCATGTGAGGCCGGGATTGGCTGAGGGCAGTGAGACTGACATTTCCACACAGGAATTCGCCACATAGAACACAATATCGTCAGTTCAGACGAGGTCCTGAGACTGGAAGGAGGACCCCTCCCCCTTTACGGTGACACTCGTAGACATGCGTTACATTCGGTTGGACTTTGTTGCTGAGCCCCACGTGGCGGCGTGACGTCGTGGGAGGAATTCCGATCACGTGTTTTCCTGCGTGGGGCGCCACCAACTGCGGCCTTTTAATCTTGAACTGTGAAGGAAAAGAACAAGATGTGAGATAATTCGATGGAAAGTGTATCCACTTATGTATTGGAGGTGTAAGAACGCGCCTCATTGGACGACGGCGCCGCCGCTTAGAATACGCATCCAACCCGGGTCAGCAAGATCCCATTGTCTGTCCTGGAGCCAGCAAGATCCCAGTGTCTGTCCTGGAGCCAGCAAGATCCCATTGTCTGTCCTGGAGCCAGCAAGATCCCATTGTCTGTCCCGGAGCCAGCAAGATCCCATTGTCTGTCCCGGAGCCAGCAAGATCCCAGTGTCTGTCCCGGAGCCAGCAAGATCCCATTGTCTGTCCCGGAGCCAGCAAGATCCCATTGTCTGTCCCGGAGCCAGCAAGATCCCATTGTCTGTCCCGGAGCCAGCAAGATCCCATTGTCTGTCCCGGAGCCAGCAAGATCCCATTATCTGTCCCGGAGCCGCACCCCTCGCCGCTCACAGCCTTTTATATAGATTTATATTATTATTATTTATTTCTCATTATTATGTTTCAGGATTAACAAGAAATAAACAATAAAAGATACATTTCATTTTTTATGAAACATTGTATAGGAATATTTTGTATTGTTTATTTCAGCCAGGAGATGGCGCTCTCGGCTCATCTTCACATGTTTTCTGGGCTCTAGATCTGTTGTTTATAAAGCCGCTTACAGAGCTCAAAGCAGAACTCCGTCCAGAAACAACAAGATGAAAATAAATGGCCCATTAAAAGAGAAAATAAAGATTTAAATAAAAAAACAGCTTTTTCCTGCAATATTCATCTACAATACTGAGAGTTCAATAGTAGTCATTTTTTTCTGGCACTAGTCTGATGGCCAGCATCATTCAAGCCACTTCCTCTGAGCCCAGGTCATCCTGGTCCCACCCCAAGCCTGTGAAGGGACAATGAAAAGAGAAGCAGCACAATGATGAGTTTATCCCTCTGTCACTCTGCTCTCTCCTCCTATCTGCATGATTCTTGTCAGTATATGAGGTGACTGGCTCCTTGTGCTGCTTTTTCCTCTCACACTCCAGCCCTGCTGTACAGAAAGTCCAAGAAGCTGATTCCGGGTCACATTCCGGGACAATAATAGAATGAAATGATGTACTAATGATTGCAGAGTGTTGTGTCTTCTCTGACCCCCGGGGGGTCTGCATGGAATGTACTCAGATATGAATGGCTCAGAGCGGGGACTCCCCCCAAATCATATATTACATTTATCTATTCGGCTGCATTAATCATCATATTGATAGGTGTGTGGAAGGGGCGGACTGACCATTTAGAAACTCGGGCACTGCCGAGGGCCCGGGGGTCAGTAGGGGGCTCCATGAGATGCCCCTGGTACCTTTTTCATAGGCTTTTTTGAGTTTGGGCAAGGACACAGGGGCCCCATGATCCCCTATTGCCTGGGGGCCCCATGAGTTGCCAGTCCGCCCCTGCAGGGGCCCCATGATCTCCTATTGCCCGGGGGCCCCATGAGTTGTCAGTCCGCCCCTGGTGTGTGGTCACCATTATACACTCAGTGGTCTACAGGGGGCGCTTCACCTGACATCTGACAACCAGGTCTAGATATACACGGCTCCACCAATGAGAGGAAGACTCTGAGAACCCATCAGATCCCAATGGGGAGGAATCTCCTGCTGGATCTCTATCCTGACATGGACGGGGGATGGGTGAGGAACGTAAGGACGCCCCACCATTGGATGGAAATGATCGACCTACAGAGGACTGAATTCACAGACACCCCGAAAATCAAAGTGAAGAGATGATGCAGCAGGCGAGTCCATGTTGGTGAAATGTCATTGCAGCAACTCAGAATGGCCCTCAGTAGTCTGTGTGGCCCCCACGTGATTGTGTGCATGCCTGACAACGTCGGGGGAGGGTCCTAATGAGACCACGGATGGTGTCCTGGGGGATTTCCTCCCAGATCTGGACCAGGGTGTCACTGAGCTCCTGGACAGTCTGAGGTGCAACCTGGTGGCGTCGGATGGCCCGAACCATGACATCCCAGAGGGGTTCTATTGGATTTAGGTCAGGTGAGTGTGGGGGCCATTCAGTGGTATCAATTCCTTCATCCTCCAGGAACTGCCTGCATACTCCCCCCACATGAGGCCGGGCATTGTCCTGCACCAGGAGGAGCCCTGGACCCGCTGCACCAGGAGGAACCCAGGACCCACTGCACCAGGAGGAACCCAGGACCCCCTGCACCAGCGTAGGGTCTGACAATGGGTCCAAGGCTTTCATCCCCATACCTAATGGCAGTCAGGGGGCCATTGTCTAGCCTGTAGAGGTCTGTGTGTCCCTCCATGGATATGCCCCCCCAGACCATCACTGACTCACCACCACAACAGTCATGCTGAATCATGTTACAGGCAGCAGAATGTTCTCCACGGCTTCTCCAGACCCTTTCACGTCTGTCACATGTGCTCAGGGGGAACCTGCTCTCATCTGTGAGAAGCACAGGGCGCCAGTGGTGGACCCGCCAATTCTGGGGTTCAATGGCCAATGCCAATCCAGCTCTATGGTGCCGGGCAGTGAGCACCATGTGATCAGACCGTGCCTGGAACATGTGATCGGACTGTGTTTGGACCATGTGATTGGATCATGCCTGAACCATGTGATTGGGCCATGCCTGGACCATATGATCCAACCGTGCCTAGACCATATGACCCAACCGTGCCTAGACCATATGATCCAACCGTGTCTGGACCATGTGATTGGACTGTGCTGGACCATGTGATCCAACCACCATGCCTGGAGCATGCGATCCAACTGTGCTTGGACCATGTGATTGGATCATGCCTGAACCATGTGATTGGGCCATGCCTAAACCATGTGATTGGGCCATGCCTGGACCATATGATCCAACCGTGCCTAGACCATATGATCCAACCGTGCCTAGACCATATGATCCAACCGTGCCTAGACCATATGATCCAACCGTGTCTGGACCATGTGATTGGACTGTGCCTGGACCATGTGATCCAACCACCATGCCTGGAGCATGCGATCCAACTGTGCTTGGACCATGTGATCCAACTGTGCCTGCACCATGTGATTGGACCATTAATGGACCATGCGATCCGACCGTGCCTGACCATGTCTCACTACACACGTGTTACTGTAATATTCGATACAAATGTATATATTTGCAGTTTGGACATGAACTAAGACATGGACATTTGCACAGCTTCACCAGGGGGAGGTAAATACGGGAGTTCCTTAACATTTGACTAGTGAGACCCCAGCCCCCACACCTGGACTGGTTACTGAAGGGGGGAGAATGGAGTGGACATTCTGAATTCTAGGACCCCCTGGGGGGTTTACTGCCCAGATCTGGATACAATGGCAGTTTACCTCCTGGGCTGGAAGACCATGTGGACATCTGATCAGGAATGCAATTAGAAGCCTGAGACAGGAAGGAGCTTTATGACCTTTTGTTTAAGATGTCACTGACTGCAATTACCACCCCCCAGCTGGGGGTGTGGGTCTCAAGTCTGGACAAAAGGGCCCCTGGCCTGGGAGAATGAAGAAGAATGAGTGAGGATGTGTGTATAGGAGCTCATAGATCTCTTCCCTTTCCCAGTCCTTCTCCCACCCATCGTAAATGACCCCAATTCCTTCTTTGTAAATATGATGTCGTTTTATCCCGGATTGTAAACAAACCGAACGCTTGTTGTAAGAATTAGTCGTCCTTCTTGGAATCGAGACACCCCAAGCAGAGCATTTCACAGCAACCTTCAGGAAAAGGTGGGAGCTAGAGGAAGGAGAACGTCTTTCCCCGAAGAGAGCTATAGAAAGGCTGGAGAGAAGTCCAACCACCAACATCCAACCAGGAGGCACCTGATACCGGCACTCCCTACTGGGAACCCTCGTCTTCTGCTAGACAAGAACCAAATGTATGAGCCTCCCCACCGAAGTATGGCCTCCACCAACCTCCCGGGAGCAGGGACGGACTGACCATTTGGAAACTCTGGCACTGCCCAAGGGCCCGGGGTCAGTAGGGGGCCCCATGAGATGCCCCTGGTACCTTTTTCATAGGCTTTTTTGAGTTTGGGCAAGGACACAGGGGCCCCATGATCCCCTATTGCCCAGGGGCCCCATGAGTTTTCAATCTGCCCCTGCCCGGGAGGTTCCATATAGTACAGGAACCTGTGGTGTGTGAACAGATTATTACAGAGTATACTCCAGTCCTCTTCACTGGAAGCAATGGGGGGATTTACTAAAACTGCAGAATCTGGTGCAGCTCTGCATGGCAGCCAATCAGCTTCCAGGTTTGATTGTCAAAGCTTCATTGAACAAGCTGAAGGTAGATGCCGATTGGCTGCCAGGCACAGCTACACCAGATTCTGAGCGCTCCAGTTTTAGTACATTTCCCCCAATGTTTCCTCTTCTATAAACTCCCATCTCAATGGAGAACCCCCCCCCCCCCCGCAGTACAATAGTTCCAGGAACTTCCAGTCTCTCTTCGCTAGGATCCCATTTCATTCCATAAACCCGTCCAGTACCAGAGGCGGCTCCTTCCAGCGACCTTCCCAATCATTATCTCCCCTCTCAGACCTCCATACACTGAACAAAACACCCAACACCCCCCTCCTGAGAACCCAACCAATCAGCAGACCACTGTGCTGCCATAATGGATACCCCTGGAGAGAGGGTAGGACCCGGCCAGGAGGCCAATGTATGTCCAGATCTTCCTCTACTGTCATAAATCCCGCACACACACCGATCATATTTACCGATTGGGTGGTGTCCACACGCTCCAGCTTTGGCATGTAGGCTCCTGAAGACAAGGTCACATAGGGGTTTTCCTCTAAGGTGTACTTTCCGGATCTTGGTGAAAATTTGGCCATGTTGGCCAACGAGTCCATATCTGTAATAATCCAACAAAAACGAGTCGTCAGTAGAAATTGTTCTATGGTGGCCGACGGGGAACCTCAGCAACGAGTGTGGCAATGTGTTCAGAGGTGTTCTCAGATAATGGAGCTCTGCTGAAGCGTAAAGTGTTGGGCAGCCCATGGAGGAGTCCGTTTTTTTTTAGTTCAGCTAGCGGGTTGAATGATAAAAAAAAAAAACGGTTCACCCATCTACACACTCCATGTGGACGGGAGAATCCTCCTCACTGTAACCTTGTATTCTGACAGTGGGGAGACTTCCAACCATCAGAATACACGGATCTGCATTGCGGTCTATAGCCGGCAGCACTGATTGAGTGAGGAAAATCCCACAAGGTGGTTGTACAGAAGCTGATCGATAGAAGGGACAACCACAGTCCCCACCCAACCGACCACATTTCCATCCATGTTCACCTTTGCAGAAAATATGAAGGCGCACTAACACCCTCCCCACCCCCTCCACAGTCCCCTCTGTACTTACTGTCAGTGCCCACACAGCCGGTTTAGTGGTCTGGGGGGTTTGAACCCCCCACGCTAATCCCTCTTCTTTCTGCAGGTCCTCCAGGATGGACCACAGTGATTCTGATTGGCCAACACCAGCACAGAGAGGAGTGGGGATATTAAAACTCTGGACCGCTGGAGTGGCTGTGTGGGCACTGACAGCTTGTCACCCCCGGAGGCATGTACAGCGGGGACCGCGGAGGGGGTGGGGAGGGTGTTAGCTCATCGTCACAGAAAAAAACAAAAAGGTGAACTAACACTTTTATTATTACAGACCTCCAATGGATGGCCCAATATGTCCCCCACACCCCCATCACCAGACTGTCCAACCCTCCCCAGTCCTATCAGGGACCAGTATGACCAGCGTGACCAGTATGACCAGCATGACCAGCATGACCAGTACGACCAGCAAGACCAGTATGACCAGCATGACCAGTATGACCAGCAAGACCAGCATGACCAGCAAGACCAGCATGACCAGTATGACCAGCAAGACCAGCATGACCAGCAAGACCAGCATGACCAGTATGACCAGCAAGACCAGCATGACCAGTATGACCGGCATGACCAGCATGACCAGTATGACCAGCATGACCAGCATGACCAGTATGACCAGTGTGACCAGCATGAAAAGTATGACCAGTGTGACCAGCATGAGAAGTATGACCAGTATGACCAGCATGAGAAGTATGACCAGCATGACCAGCATGAGAAGTATGACCAGTATGACCAGCATGAGAAGTATGACCAGCGTGAACAACATGACCAGCATGAGAAGTATGACCAGCATGACCAGTATGACCAGTGTGACCAACATGACCAGTGTGACCAGCATGACCAGCATGACCAGCATGACCAGCAAGACCAGCATGACCAGTATGACCAGTGTGACCAGCATGACCAATGTGACCAGTGTGACCAGCATGACCAGCATGACCAGTATGACCAGCATGACCAGCAAGACCAGCATTGACCAGCATGACCAGCAAGACCAGCATTGACCAGCAAGACCAGCATGACCAGAATGACCAGCATTGACCAGCATTGACCAGCATTGACCAGAGAAGGCAAAATATAAGCAGATGATTCTAGAACGTTGTGCTGTTGCTGATTTCAGAGGATTATTTCCCTTATAAAAACAACATGGAACGCTCTGATTGGACAGAAGGGTGTTACATGGCTTCTCTTACCCGTGTGCTGGAAGTTCG